CATTAACACAGGCTCTAATTTGGGACCAGAGAAAATCTCTCTTATATCCGGGTTTCTCTTATATCCAGGTCTCTTATATCCGGGTTACACTGTATAATGTTTGTGTGTGTGTTCAATGAGCTATTGAAAATTTCTACTAGTCAACAGCGAAGTGAAAAAATTTAATTTTTTATTATTATTATTATTATTATTATTATTATTATTATTATTATTCTATCTCTTGATATCAAAAATAAAGATCACTTGCCTTAAAAACGTTATCTTTCAGAATTACCGAGGTCGGCCGATTTTTCGAAGATTCACTCATATATATATATATATATATATATATATATATATATATATATATTACAGTGGTTATATTTTATTTGAAATAGGACCCCCCATATATATATATATATATATATATATATATATATATATATATATATATATATATATATATATATATAGGTAAACGATAAATATATTTTAATATTTTTATATATCAGAATAATATTAAGAAAATCTATGACAAAATGGAAAAAATTTCGTGTCACGCATTTCGTCCTTTTACTTCTTCGAAATAAAGTAATGTTTACAATGGTGTCATTAGACATACTCATGAAGAAGCAGAGATGACGTTGAAATTTTAAATTAAAATTTTTTTCAAGTATGCGTTTGATTATATAGACTAACCAATTTCAGTTAGTTTGTTTTCTATTTGTTCGTATATATATATATATATATATATATATATATATATATATATATATATATATATAAAGTATATTTCGGCAGGAAGAATTCATTTGTGTTAAGTTCAAACAACAACCTTTGTATATTTAATATTTTATTGTATTTTCTAATTTTGAAATAAATTCTTGTACGTCGAAATCAAAATTTTAGATAAACTCTCCAAAGTTCATATTTTTGTTCTATTTTTGTTTCGAACATCTAAATCATTATCAAGAACTGAATGTTGTTAATATCGTAGACAAGATTTTGTTTTTGCTATACTCTGGCATTTTTGGGAACGTTACAATATAAGTCAAATGATAGGTTTTGCATGTTGATCAATTCTTTATAAACAATTTATCTGAAGAATATATGCATACATGCACTCATATAAGAAGCATCACTGTCTTCCAAAAATAAATTCATATATCCTATTAAATATATTTAAAAACGAATAACGCTTTGTAAAAGGTCAGACTCCTTGGAAACTAGAAATTATATCTTGCTAATACTCTCAGCTCTTGTAATACCAAAATGAGAATGCATTTTTTTTTAATTATATAACAACATGTATTATAATCATTGCTTTAAGTTTCACTTCACTCACTAGATAAGTGTTGAAGACAGCAGAGAAAGCGTTGTAAAATAGGCCGATAAACTTTTCTCAATAACATCAATCAAACGATAAAGATACCTGAACACTGAATTCGAAAAGAAGCACAGTATAGACATCGTGTTGCAGTCACGTACTTAATGAGAAAACCTTTCATTCATCACGAAGTAATCACGGCAGTTCAGAAGCGCATTAATACGGCCACATTAATGGTATGCACCACATTTACACCCATATTTGCAGATATTTAGCAAACTTTTATACTAACCAGCTTGGCAAGTGGAAATATAAAACATGCGGTAAAGAGGATGTTCTGAAAAGTTCTCGGCCCAATTCACTTCTTAAAATAAAATAAAATGATCAAACATTAGAAATCTTATTTGGAAGGACTTTAGAGTGGGTATTTAATTAATATTGTTAATAACATATGTCGCCACAAATTATTGTTGTTATAAAAACACACAAATGTTTGTTTGAGACTTTTCTTCAGTTGTAGTTGCAGGTCGATTTCATTCAAGATTTTACAAGTTTAAAATCCCCAGATCGGCCATGATTTCTTCTATCTTCTTGAAGAATGACATCCCATAACCAGCAAATCTCAAGTTTTGAATCAAGTAAAAACCTAATAAGTATGACCAAGGAATATACAATTAAACATTATAACAATGGATAATGGGTAACAACGTAGTAAATTAATGCTTAAAACACGGGGCTGTTCTTGTACCGCAGTATCCAGAAAATGCTGCTGATGAATAACGACGTCATGAGAGTATATCCAGTGATTGATTTCCTCGATTCCAGCATAAGCAGTCTAGCCATTTGAAACAATATGGTTTTCAGACTGAATATACCCGCGCTATCAGCACTTTCAAAGTCTCTGCTCGCCAGCACATCAACTAAGAAACACTTTGCCGAGCAGCGTTTGATATTATCGAATGGCAACGGTGATATTTACAATGAAAAAACATTTAAAGATATAAAATGACAGTTTATTTTACGCCGTTTAAATGAAGCAGAACTTTTACAGATTATTTTACGTCGCTTATGTGAAGGATTACCAATTTTTCAGCGCTCCTTACGTAAGCGTCTTTCTACAAGTTTTATATCTGGTTTTATCTTCTACTCTCATTGTTTATCTGACTTTTTATAACTTGAATTTTCGATCACGAATAATACTGATTTCCATGCACAGTTCAGTCCTTTTGAAAGTATTCATAAATAGAAATTTACAGTCAGTCAGTTATGTGCCATGCGTGATACATGCTTAGGCGATCATGTATCTTTCTACACATGACTAACGAGGCAGATGTTTTCCCCACAGTAGGTTGCCATTTCTTTTTGCGGTAAATCAGTTGTCATCCGAGGCTATAGAACCCGGTCTATTTACCCATAGCTGGGGGAGAAGAAGAGAATTCATACCTTTCCCAAGGTAAGTGAATTCGAACTCGGCTCTCTGACTCCCCCACTGTGCCTCCACGGAAATTACAAAAAATGATAAAAATAAGGATGGTATCGAAAGTGGAAAGAGATGATAGTCGGCGACTAGACCGGCCAGTAGATATTAAAATAACAGAAATGGTGATGGCAGCTAAGTCTGAATCATTAGCACAAATGGCACTCAAAATGGCCGTGTCAATCCACAGACGTTAATTTGGTCATTGGAGGTTGTTTTGTACATAAAAAGAATGATGAAGAAAGGCGCAAAAAAAAGGCTACAGAGAAAAGAAGGGACAGGTAAGTATGGAAGGATAGAAGTTTATAAAAAGAAAACAGAAAATATTAAAAGAAAAATTGGGCGCGGTACGGTTCGAAGAAAGTCAAATAGATTTCGCTAATACATTATGGCAACCGAAAGAAAAACAGATAAGAAATACTGCTAAAAAGTATGAAATATTGGTGTTACTTTTGCAAGTGGCAGAATCATATTGTATTTTTCATTTATCTGCGTTAATATTGTTATTGCTTTCACTTCTTTTTATCATGATTTGTTTTCCTTACTTTTTTTTCTAGCGACGTGCTTCTCACTTGTTTTGGTCATGTTCCTTTTTTTATTATCATGTTTTGTAAATGTCAGAAAAATAGAAAGGGTTACGCCAGCTTTTCATTTTGCGAAAGAATAAAGATATGAAGGATTGCGTACAGATGTGAGACTGGAGAGCAAGGAAATGCAGGAAGAGAATGGAAACAAAGGCAGAGCAAAGAAATGAAGGGAGAGAAAGGAAACAAAGATGGAGTTGGATAACGAGAAAGACAAGTGTAAAACAGACAGAAAAACGAAACGAGGGAATTGAAATAAAGTACAAAGTTAAAAGACTTTTGCTTTTGCAATTGCATAGGTTTATATTATATATATATATATATATATATATATATATATATATATATAAGTCCAATATGTATGCAGACATGATTGCATAAATTTCGTTTTATTTTTTGTTTTTTGTTTTTTGTTGTTGTTGTTTTTTTTGTTTTTTGTTTTTTTGACACATGCATTTGTATGAAGATGTTTCTGTGCCCCAGGTATTTACATAGTTATGCATTTATGTAAGTATCATAAACAAGGGTGTATCAAAATGGTCTACAGCCTGACACGTATTTATTAACTGAATTTTGATCGGAAATTGTTACTCTATAATATACGATCTTAATATAATTAATATAGCCCCCATAGAATTAAGAATTAAGTGCATTGATAAGGAAATAAATTATAAAAGATAAAAATAAATATCTTTCGTATTTTTTCGCTTTTTTCCATTATTATGTTTCGGTATTATGATATATATCTACATTAACTCTGCAGACTTCCTTGTGTAGTATAGGGCCACAACCCCACCCGCTCTAGATATTGCTGCTGCAGCTTACGTAGAAAGTAAGTTTTTACAGTGTGGAGATGCTAGCTCAACACACAACCGGTTTTTAATTTTTAATTGACATAATCTTAGACTGAAAACCACACATAAAAGTAATTTGATTTAATTTCGCATACCGTATATTCTATCTGATCTGATATGTGAAAATAAACATAATATATGAAAATGATGAAAATCAGTGAGTGGATTTCGGAATATGCGAAATTCCGGAAACATTAAGTAAACATCGTATACTATATATATATATATATATATATATATATATATATATATATATATATATATATATATATATATATAAAGGATAATATATATATATATATATATATATATAATAAAAGGATAATTTTAAGGTATGCTATATTTATGGGTAAAAGTGCTCAAAATCAAGGATAAAACATATGTAAATATAAAAGTGAACACTAGGGTCAACACCGAGTGGCTACAGTCTGTTTCATGCTTGACCGCAACCTTTAGGCCATCAAGCTGAAAATTGCGTTCAAGCTTCAGTGTTGACCCCAGACACCATATATATATATATATATATATATATATATATATATATATATATATATAACAAATATATATATATATATATATAACAAATATGTTCCCAAAAACAGATTTTGATTAAATGTAATGCATTATTTTCGTTGTAATTCTTTGATGGGGAATTGTTTTACGTATCATTTTCATTATTGTTTTTTTCTATCTCATCATTTTTCGTTTTGTTAACTCGTCTTCTTTCTCTTTTCCTCCACATTCCCTATTTCTTTATTTTTTTCTTCAACCTCCTCTTC